TTTTAACAACAAGAAACTAGTGGAGCCAACTAATGTTGAACGACAAGTTGTTGTTAAACATGTCGACATGATATGGTCCAAGTTGCCTTATTCGAGATCTGATTAGATGTGGAGACATGAAAAGAATTATGATAAATCCTCATTGTGATGTGTTTCAAGATTCAAATCAAAACAGACTCTACTTTCCTAATTAATCCCTGCTGAGTCAGACATATCTACATCTACATTCTTCAAAGATGATAGATTCTCTCTACAAAGATGATAGATTCTCTTTTCAAAGATGATAGATTCTCTCTTCAAAGATGATAGATTCTCTTTTTAAAGATGATAGATTCTCTTTCAAAGATGAAATCTTTATTGAATTTCTACACAAGTCCCAACAAAGAAAGCTGGTTTTATCCAAGACAAAATGGGGCATCAAAGTCATAGTTATGACTACAGCAAGAGTTCCACAAATGAAACATTTCTTATGAGACTTAAATGAAGCAAAGAAGACACCAAGATACAGATTGATCAGATGATTCTGCAGAAATGAAAGCTTGATAGCATAAGTTGCTACATTTCAGAGGTAATCCTGGCAATAAATGATGAAGTGAAAGAAGACCAAGTTCACCAATTTGAAATCAAATAAAAATGAACTTAATATTCATGCATCATATTTAGGCATTTGCAAAAATAGGTGCATTTACATTCATTTTATCCATGTTGAATTTTGACAGGAATTTCAAAGATTTTAGCAAAGATTTAAATCCATCATTCAATGGATCAACATTTTCAGTTAGAGTTCATAATGAGAAGAACTCATCTGAAGAAGAAGAAGAAGTTCATAATAAGAAGAACTTTTTCAACTTTTTGCTTAAATTCATCCCTCGGTGGATCAGCAATGCCAGTTAGAGTTCATAATGAGAAGAACTCATCTGAAGAAGAAGAAGAAGTTCATAATGAGAAGAACTTGTTCAACTTTTTGCTTAAATTCATCACTCGGTGGATCAGCAGTGCCAGTTAGAGTTCATAATGAAAAGAATTCATCTGAAAAAGAAGAAGAAGTTCATAATGAGAAGAACTTGTTCAACCTTTTGCTTAAATTCATCACTTGATGGATCAACTTTTCTAGAGAAAGTTCATAATGAGAAGAACTCATCTGAAGAAGGAAGAAGAAGTTCATAATGAGAAGAGCTTGTTCAACCTTTGTTTGATTTTATCACAGAATGAGATAGATCAGTATCAGCATTTCCATAAAAAGTTCATAATAAGAAGAACTCATCTGAAGAAGGAAGAGAATTTGTTCAACTTTTTGCTAGATTACATCACAGAAGAAGATAAATTGTCATCCCCAGCGAAAAAGTTCATAATGAGAAGAACTTATCTGAAGAAGAAGAAGTTCGTAATGAGAAGAACTTATTCAACACTTTGCATGACTCTATCACAGAAGGAGATAGATCAGCACCAACATTGCCAGAATGAGATAAATTGTCAATCCCAGTGGAAGAATTCATAATGAGAAGAATTCGTCCTAAGTGAGCAAAAAGTTCATAAGGAGAAGAACTTATAGCTCAGAAGTTTAAACGTTTCAAGCTAAAAATGGTGTTTTATGTCTTTGCTCCATTCCTGTTCCACAGCAACGAGCAAAGAGGGGCAGCTGTAATCACCATTTTTACCTCTCCATTCCAGCATCTCCACGTTGCATTTCCAGCAATTTCCAGCAGCTGCAGCAGCCCCTCCACACAGCATTTCCAGTAGCTTCCAGCGACAGCTGCCCCTCCATGTTGCAGCTACAAACAGCCTCCAGCAAGCCGGGACAGCAGCTCCTCCACGTCCCAGTTCCAGTGGCTTCCATCACCTCCTTTGGCCAGTGACTCACCGAAGCTTTCCCCTTTGGACTGGTCCAAGACAAGCACTGGAGGTGGCTATAAAAGCCACCACACCTGCGAGACAGAGAAGGAGGAACAGACAGGGGGAGAGAAAAAAAAAACAGAGAGCAAAGATACAAAAACAAAGAACAAACAACCCACAACCAGCAGTAAACCAAAACAGAAACAAAAAGAAAGGAAAGAAGCTTACCGAGGAAGCCACCGGACCTTTCAAACGTCACCAAAACCTTCAGAAACCGAAGGTATTTCTTTAGATTTGCTCCGATCAAGAGCTATTTAGGAGAAAAAAGCACTGGAACCGTCCTTAGGACGGTCCGATCTACATAATGATAAAAAAATAAAATTTTCCGGCCACCGGATGCGGTGGCCGGCGGTGAGGGTCACGGCGGTAGACGGCTGCCGTCTGGTGACCGGCTTCCCTCCGATGAGGGAAGCTAGAGAGAGGGGAGAGCGTTTATTTCTCTCTCGGTTAGAGAGAGAAATAAAAAAAAAGAAATGAAATATGGCCCGAAGGGCCAGCTGAATTCGGCTTTAAATAGCCCTTCCCGAACGACGTCGTTTCGGGGAGGGCTATTCGTGTAATTAAATAATAGTTAAATCCTTTCCGCAGCCAGTCTAATTTGTAAACTTTACATTTTAGTCACTAAATTGAGTTTATAATCCTTTTAATTCGGTTCTTTAATTTTAATTTTATTTATTTTAGTCCTTTATATTAAAATAATATATATAGGGTAAATAATAGATTTAATCCCTTAATTTTAATAATTAATATTTTAATCCCGAGTTTATATTTTTAATTTATTTTAATCTGATATTCAAATTTTAGATAAGTTTTATTTTAGTCACTAAATTAATAAAATAAGAAAATAGCATGTTTAATCCCTATAATTTTGATTAATTATGAATTAGGTTTTTAATTTTAATTTTACTATAATTTAGTCACTAATTTTAAATGTTTTTATTTATTTTACTGCTTTTAAATATATCGTTCTAATTGTATTTTTATTGTTTTAATTTTACTTGTTTATATATTTAAATATTTTTATTATTATTATGTAGTCATAAATATATATAATAAATAATAATTTATATTTTTTTAATAAATTATTTTAATATTTATTTTTCAATATCGAAGAAAAGGGTCTTAATACAACTGGATGTCCTATTCTGGTATTTTAAAATTAAATATTATAAAAAATTATTATTTAATTTTATGTAAATTAATATTTATTAATATCAAAGAAAAGAGCTGTCTTAAGGCACCTAGAAGCCCTTTTCCGATATTTTTAAATAAATAAATATTTTTTATATAATTTTGAAATAATAGGATTATAAATTAAATATATTTTGAATTTTTAAAATTTTAATAATAGAGACAATTTATAATTAAAAAAAGTACCAATTTTGGGCGTTGTAGGGGTGCTAATCCTTCCCTAAACGTAACCGACCACGAATCCCTTTTTATTATTAAAAATAACGAATTTTTGGTTATAAACGCAGATCAGTTCATTTTTTATTTGATGTTTTCTTAAAACTCTTTTAAAAAATAATTTTTAGGTATTCGACCTACCTGACCCAAAAGGCCGATGGAGACTCCCAAATTATTTTCAAAACCATTTATTCACATCAATTTTCCCGCCAAATAAATATTTCGTGCCCGGACGAAAACCGGTTACGACAGGTACCGATACCATAAGGTCAGTATCGATACCAATTTTTGAAATAAGGATTTCAAATGCAAATGGGTATCGATACCAGGCTTGGCATCGATACTACAGCTAGGGTAGTGTCGATACCCTACAGGGGTATCGATACTACTTCAAGTAGAAAATGAAATATAGTCTTTCTTTTAGTATAAGAAATTAAGGATCGAATTATGATGTTTGGAATGCTGATATGCATATAAATGTATGATTATGTAGATATCGAGCTTAAGCAAGTTTCGGAACAATCGAATAATTAAAAACGGTCGAGAGAGAGATAAAGTTCTAGGATTGATTCGAATCAAGTGAGGCTAAGATGAGTGTCTACTACCATAGTTAGTATAGATATTGTTTTATGGAAATGGACTTGTGATAAGTCTATTTCCTATATTTGATTTCATTAATTCATGTTCATATACATGCATATATTATGATTATAATGAGTATGTGCATAACTCATACATGCATTAATATGATATAATATGTGATATATGCAACCATAAGAGAATCAATTCAAGTTATGTATTATAATACAAGTGATTATATGTGTACATGTGCAGTATGTGATGTGTTTATATGAGAAGTGAGAGAAGAGATATGAAAATGTGACATGTATCCATATTTATGCCCATGTTATGTGATATGAGAGCTGTAGGTATAATTGGCATGCCAAGAGTCGAGGGTTCTATTTGGTCCTTCGGGACATATATGTAATCCTTTGGAATATATATGCGGTACTTCGGTACACTTATTTGGTCCATTGGAATATGTATATGGTTCTTAAGGAGTGGTCCTTCAGGACATAGTGGTCCTTCGGGACAAGTTTAAGTGCCCTTAGTGGGAATTTATACGAGATGTGGTGACAACATATGTGCACAACTTCAGTGTACTCACTTACCTCAGATTCTCAGTAATATACATAGGCATTCCAATAGATAAAACTGAATTAAAAACCTCATAAGATGATATGTTCATTTGTACATTTTGTAATTTTGCATGTTATAGTTGAGGAAATATATGTAAATGGTAAGGTTATAATGGAATCTATAGAAGTGCATGTTTAATGAATTTCATTATTATATGTTATATTATGTCTCACTAAGTCTGTGACTTAGCGTGTAAGTGGTTTACACGTAGGTACCAAGAAACAAGGAGATTAGAGTTAAAGGTTAGAAATACATCTCCATTGCAACGATCAGATCAGAAGTGATTTAAAACAATATGTCATTTTGTTGTAATAATTATGTTGGCATGTAATCACAGTTTAAATCATATATGCTCTGATTGATTTTGTAATCATTTTGATGATATTTATGTAAATTATTGCATTGTTGTTTCAATCAAAGTTTTAAATTTTATGAAATTTTGTAAAAGTAAACGTTTTGAAAAGTCAATGTGACACCTTGAATTTGTATCCAGGTCTAATACGGATTGGGGTGTTACAGCAACACTTGGGGCTCTAGGCCGGAAGGTGCTTCAATTACTTCCGGAGACTTTTTCGAGGCTCTAACGTCGTCCGAGTTTTATAAGAACACCAAGGTGGTCCACTTCCAGTCATCTTGAATTCTTTCGGTTTCTTAGTTGTGCTTACTATCCGTGTTAACTTGTGAGATTATACAGGTTCGTGATATCTCGGAGTCGTTCCTCTGGGCACCGTTCCTTGCGTTGCAGAAATCGAACACCTTTCTGACCATGTTGTTACTGCTTTCCATGTACAAAATGAAGAGTGTTCCTGTACTTGATCTGGACGATGGAAAGATCGATAACATCATAATACAGTGCTTCAGGCCTTTAAGTTAATGAGGAAAAACAGAATCGGAGGCATACCCGTAATCGAACACGGGCGGGAAAAAGCTATCGGTAACATCGCCTTCGAGATGCACAATTTCTTTTAACCGCACTGGATATCTACCGTGATTACAGGTCGGCAATGCATTATGATAAACTTGTAGATCACATTAGATATGAATGTCTATAAAGTGTTGGAAGTCCTTTTGATGCATAGATCAATCACGACTAAGAACTTCCTAATAGCGGTTCGAAACTACTTGGAGAAACACAAGAAGAGATCGCCGACGCTGAGTGGCATGATAACTTGCAAGAGAGATGAAACAGTAAGAGAGTTGATCCAGACATTCGACTCGGAGAAGATCCAGAGGGTGTACGTCGTGGACGAGGACGGGAACTTGGAAGGAGTGATCACACTTAGAGACATCATCTCAAAGTTGGTACACTAACCACGCGGCTACTTTCGTGATTTGGCGTGTTGCCTTTACCTGAAAACAGCAGGGTGTGAAAGAGTGACAATCAAAACAAGTTGTAGGCTCCCCATGAATGATGCAACTCACTCCTTCATGATTTTCTGGATATGCAGATTGTAACATAGGCGAGCCGCTTCTACTTGACAGGTTCTGAATTCTGTCAATTTATGCTGCTTTCAATAAATGGATTTGGATGTTCCGTGTTGCAACTTGCAATCTAAAAACAAGACCCCTCTTCTTGGAATGAATATACATTCTATCTATATATATAATCATTTCTCTTATATTACTCAACAAATCCAAAACTATATATATATATATATATATAAACTGGATTTGGATGTTATGTGATTCAGTTCTAGAATAGGTATTCGAACTGTCTTCGCTGTCGCATACAAAGGTTAATATGACTATCGACCCTCGTTCATTACAGGTTGATGGTTAATATGGCTATCGATCCTCATTCATTACATGTTCAGGGTTAATATGACTATCGATCTTCATTCATTATAAGTTCACGAGTCGAGTTCAATTTAAGACGTTATATTTCTTCATGTCTATATGGAGGTTAACCTTATAAAACATAAGAGATATGTACCCTAAAAATAATTACCATCATACACGAAGATTTATCTCACGAAGACTTAACATTTTACTCCAAATTAAAATGGATGAAACTCATACCATGCAAAATGTAAATACGTAAAGAAAATTATTGATACGATAAATAATCTTAAAAACAATATTCATCATTTTTATTATAAAAGCATTTTATTTCTAAAGTTCATAATAAATTAATATTTAAAAACGGAATATAACGTCTTTTTGAATTTAAGAGTGTTAATATAGAACAAAATATTAAGATAATTATTTAAAATGATATTGCGTGAGAAATTTAAAAAATTGATATAATTGATTTCATTTATTAAATAAAGAGATCTTAAATTAAACATGAAATTCGAGTTTATAATTTTTAAAAAGCAGAAACAATATACTTTAAAAAAAATATAATTTAAATATTAGAAATATCCTCAACGGAGTCATCAAATTATGAAAACTATTTTAGCTTTAAAAAATTATTTTATTATTTTACTTTTAATTATTATTTGTATTTTAAAAACTATAACTATCATCGATCATTTTGAACTAGATATAACTAAAAACTTTATAAAAAATAAGTATATATATATATATTCTTCATATTTATTTTATGCTAAATATTTTTTATTTTTAGATGTACCTTCTAGAGCGCAAGGCTCTTAACCTTATGGTTGTGGGATCGAGTCCCACGGTGGGCAAATCATAATTCTGACTGCCGAAGGTCTTCCACGGAAGTTGCTCTCAACCTGACGTTGGGGGCAACCTACTATCCTACCTCCCCCTTACCCCATTACATATGAGAATAGGGTCAACTAATTTTTTATATGTACCTTTCAGTAATATATATATATATATATTATTCTTCATATTTATTTTATGATAAATATTTTATATTTCTATATGTACCTTTCAGTAATATTATTTCTTAAATTGCGTCCCCTTCTTGGAGTGCAATGTACCTTGTCAATGTCCTCTGTACTTATACGTAATTTAACAAATATTTTAATTTATTTCGAACAAATTTTATTCTATTTTACTCGATTAAAAAATTAAATTAAATGATAATAATAAAATAAGACACAATAACTCGATTAATGAAAACAATAACTCAATTTAATCAAACAACCATACGTAATTGGAGGCTTGGACAATCCCATGAATCGTGAAAATGAAGAGTAGCTCCTAAACAATTTGTTAGGTCAAATTTGGACAGTTCTTACGAGTCTTAATCTGAAAAGGACGTGATAAAGAGAATGAATTTGTTTGGGGATTTAGGAAACAACCTCGGCAATCAGATTCTACCAATAACCCAACTTGTTCCTACTACTTAAAAACCCAGCTGCCTACCTTTTTTTACCAACATTTGTCGTTACCGACAATTTTGCTCACTGTCACCACAAGATGCTGCGATATTGGCGAAACTTTTGATAGCTTTTTCCAATGTTCATATGATTATAGTAATTGAAATGGCAGCCATTTCACATTTGCCATGTTGCTGTTAGAGAACCAACTGGCATCAAATTTGACTCCAAGCTTAATCTAAATATTCTATTTTGTTATCTAGTGACTTCACAGATTAAAAAAAATAACTTCAAAATATCAAATTCAACTCCACCGGCCAACAAAGAAATGATCTTTAACCAGCAATGAGAGAAGAGGGAATGAAGCCACTACCACCCAAAATTTCAGTTCATCTTCAATGGACCACCCCAAGGGTTCTTTCTTACTGATGTATCAGGTTTCATTTCAAATGGACCCTGCAATTTCTATTCATGAATAGGCCAATGACTTGTCTAATGAAAACGACGACTAACAAGATCCGAGTTGAGTTCTTGTCGTAAACCAAAGACGTTGCATGTTCATTTGTTATTATAACACAATAATGTCTGAAAACACATGTTGGTTTATTTATGTACCCCTATTGTTTTGAAACAGGGACCTGGCCCCGTTCGTTGTCATCTTGGTGTGTTCTGCTTTTTCTCATATTGTTCTTTCGGTTCAGGCAACTGTCACGCCTTGAGAAGGTGGGGACATGAACCCCACATCGAAAAGAAAAAGGGAGGTCATAGAGTTTATAACGCTCAATACGTTAAACCCCAAATACCAAGAAAATCAACAAATTAGAAGTTCCTCAATGTCTTTTTCAAAACATTGAATAGAGGGCTCGGATCATTTTTGTTGAATTCAAGTTATACAAATGGCTGCTATGTTGTTTCAAAAGTCACCTATCTGTATCGTTGGGTTGACTCTGGAGGGCGAGAGTCAAGATTGGCAGCGCCCCAACAGTAGAGGAATTTCAACTTTCCATCAATTCTATTCTAGAAAAGCATATTTCAAGGCAAGATTGTTGTTCCTTCTGCTAAGCAATCAAAAGAATTCCAACCAATTAACCATAGGAAGCTTTCACTACTTTACAAATGCAAGCACTGGACACATAATTCCACAGGAAAAAACAGTAAAAACAAACATGATACTAAAACACATTAAATACAATCTCACTAGGTGCAAATACATGAAACGTGAAAGATTCGGACGAGGAAAATAAGTGATAATCAATTAATTATATACCCTACATATAGGGAAGTTTCTGCAATTCCTATACCTAAACCTATTCAAAGTGCCCTGCCATTGATGTATTTATTCTACTATGGAACACCCTAAAACCTTGAAAGAGACTCTTAAGCGGTCATGCCTTACCTTGAACTAACACATTTATGTAGAAAAAACGGATAAAACATCTGCAAGATGGGGCCGGAGAGTTCACAATCCACAGACAACATATCGGTCCTATTCTTATAACACTTATGAATATGACATGGATAAAATCTGACTTATGCTTTTATGTGCCTTCTTGCTGATACCACAAAGACTGAATACTAACTTACGCACTTACAATTTACGGCAACACATTATAACAAATAAAGAAATAAAAGTGCAAGAGATGTAGCCATTCCCTTGGGATAGGCATAACTGATTATTCATCATGTTATATGGAAGTTGTGTGTAAAATCTTACCGGAAGGTATTAGCAACAAAATATATATTGGTTTCAATTCTAAACACAAAAACATTGCCAATGGTCCTTATATTAAGATTACAGAAGCAGAAGCCTTTGTTCCAGCAGATAGAAGTTCAGGTGCTGCTGAATATTGTGAGCAATATTTTCAAAGATACTAACGGGTCTATGAAGCATGACAAAATGGAGAGGTAACAATATTGCCATGCTAATGGTGATTCGAGAAATAAAATATATGAACAAGAAGAAAAATCCACACATATAGAAACTATAAACTATAAACATGTACAAGATACAGTATATAAAGGGGTGACAAGTAGCTTTCACAAAACCTGTGTTTAAACATCAAACAGATAAAAGAAGAAAAAGAAGAGACAAAAGTCAGCGAACACATATATTGGTAACACTCTCGCTCTGATTAGTCCTTGATGTGCGGAAAGCGCATACCTGTAACGAGAGTCCAGTACCCTATGAACTCTTTCTTCTCATATGATGAAGAACAAGAGGTGTTCCTTCAAACAAATCCAACAGATAGTTTTCCAAGTCATCGGGTGTATACTTGATGTATTTTCCAGCATGCCTTCCACTCTCTAGCTGACTCCCGAACCTCCCCATGAAGGAGCGATAAGCTGGAAGTACTTTCTCTGATATAGAAATTCGAAGCTCTTCACGAAGTTGAGGATCTGGAACCTTCCAACCTGTCTGAATCCTATATATGTCTTCGAAACAGGCATTGAAGTTCTTAAATCTTTCCTTCAAGGCTACCTTGGAGGCATTATTCGAGCTACCACCAATTCCTTCATCTTTCAAACAATATAAAGCTTTGGTCCAACAAGCCCTCAGATAACTTGTAGCATATTGGCGTATCGAGCCACGCCGCTTACGAACCCAATTGTCTCCCAAAAGTTTTCTTAACTCAGAATCCTTCACCTTTTGTACTATATACAGATTATTATTCATTAAAAAGATACAATGTAATGCACCATCCTCATACAGTTTTGACTTCTCCTCGAGATTGGATTCCAAAGAGGATATCAACAACAGCAACCGTTTAGCAAAAGGAGTCATTGTCTCTAGCTCACCATCCTCACTCTGCAATCCATTTGATTCATCCTCGTCACTCTCCAATAACGAATTCAAAGTCTCGCTATAATCCACAAGCAGTTTCACATAAT